GAGAGATCACTGCAGTCAAGGTGATGGAAAAAGCTAAACCATTAGATTGGAACCTCAAATAATGAGCAAGATTTTGAGATGTGTAGATGGAAGAAGGACGTTTCAGCCAAAGGGCATAACTGGAGCCAAAGTGTGAAATTGGCAATCTGTGAGGCATGTCCAAGTAGTAGTGAGCTGTTGGGTTTGTTGGAGGGATACACTGTGTGTAAGGAAATAGAGGGAGAGAGGTCTGAGTAGGCAAAAGGATCTGAACGTTACTAAGTAACCAAGGAAGGGTCAATGTGATGATAAGAACTGCGACTTAAGGCAACAAATTATTTTGGTGGCAAATGAATGTGAAGAAGAAGAAAAGATAAGTCAGAGCACTATTGCCAAAAAATAAAACGTACCTGTTTTAAGAGATGAAGTAGAGGTAACTCTCTGTTAGGACAATGGCTCCTAATATTTCAGGGGCTTTACCCTCCTTAAGAATCTTTGAAAAGTTACAAAGCCTCACTGCCACTACTCCGCAGAAGTTTGCTTGCAATTTCATATACCCCTGAAGCCCATCCTTGGGCCCCAACTTCAGAATCCCTTCTTACTGACCTCACTGTGATTTTCCACGCTTGTCAAATATTTCTTAAGCAAATTGCAACATTACACAGCTCCAGTGAATTAAGATTCACTCTCAAGTTTCTCACGACATCCTGCAATTCTGCCAAGGCTGGTAATCATGGTGGACATTAGGAATGATACTTTTTAAAAGGAAAAGACCCTCTTTTTATTCTCTTGACCTTCCTGCAGGTTTCAGTGAAAATAGAAACATTCCACCTGTCTTTTTCCTCTCACTGCTGCTGCTCCCTCCTGTCGCCCCTAATGACTGTGACCTCAGTGACCTTCCAGAATATCCATATGGTCCTTTTTCTCCTCAACCTAGCAACACCATACCTGCTACATGAGGGTTTGGATCTCATAATATTGTTCCTAAGCCTGGCCTCTCTCACTATCTGGCATTGTGTGCCTGCCATAAGACCGGGCTGGCTCGTAAAACATCTCTTTATGTACTTTATTACTTAAACTCTTTTATTTGCCTGCAGGAGCCCTTTAACAAAATCACATTGAATTGACTTTCTCACACCAAATCAAATCTCCCTGGTCCCAGTTCAGTTGTCTTTGTCAATATGTATTTTATAAATGGAGTGAATTAACAGATGCTGTTGGAACAGAAGTGCTGGGGTAGCGTTTATGTTTTTACTGCTCTCTCTGGGCAGATGAGTTGTGTAGGAGTGTTATACAGGTATCTCGGGATGAAAGTCATGCTCATCATTGCGGTGGATATGTATTCTTAACCATTTTCTTTGGGTGTATTTTAAACCTCTTTATTACTCTTTTTATTCTTAGTGTTTGCTCGTATGGTTTTGTCATTGAAGCCACTAATCTTAGATTGGACTTGACTGTATCTTTTAGCATAAAGAGATGAACATTAAAGTCTCCCTACCATTCAAAGAGACCAGGATTTTTTGTTACCCGTGAGAAACCAATGAAGCCATACCTTTGGAATGTATTGCCTGATTTCTATTATAAAGGTTGTCCATGCAGCCTCAGATAGGAAAATCTAGGTTGGAACTGCTTTGTAATAGAATACTGAGTTTCCGTTTCCTGGAGTCGGACTTCTGCAGAACGATTGACTACCACTATTTGGTATAGAAGACGGGATCTAGAAACTTTGCAAAGAGGGAAATATAGCACAGAAATCCATCACGAAAGAACTGTACTAAAGAATATTTTCCAGAAAGATTTCCAGGTGACATAAGAATTTTTGAAAGGTGTGATGTAGGAAAAAAAACACATCTCAACAATTTGGGGAGCATGTTTGTTCTACCCTTTCTTTGTCAGTTTTGTGGTGGTAGCCATGGGGCCATCTACTGGTGGAGACAAGCATACATCTCTTTTCTTTCATATTCTGCCACGAATTTTATAAGTTTACCCTAAGAATGACTAATCACAAAACTTTTTTTCAGTCTTATAGGCCTAAAATATAGTCCCTTGGCTTAAAATGTCCCCACGATCAGTCCCAGAGTTGCACATTAATTTGTCATGTTCTAGACTGTGTTCTTTCCTACTTTACTGTTTTTATCTCAAAAGCATGATTCATAATTCTTGGCCTTTTTTTTTTCCTAGAAAAATGGACGCCTGTTTTACAGAATTAACAGTTTAGAAATTCATCAGGACTATATGTTTATAAATGCTTTCCTTGTCAGCCCTGGCCATTAAATGAGTGTTAGTAACATATTGAAACTATTCATGGTATTGTGAGTAAAAGATTCTTTCCTTCACTGTTTTCTCAGTTGTATCCAATAAAATGGAAGCTATCTGTTGGATATATATTCTGTTGGGAAGATAAAATATATTGCAGTTTGATATCAAAAATAAATATCAAGTAGCTCTATGTGTACTGTACCACTTTGGTAAAATCTGTCCAAAAAGCATCTTCACCTTTGTACAAATTTAAAGGACAGCCTCTGGAAAAATAGATCGATCCATCAACAATAGATCGATCTATGACCCGTTTTGTTTTTCTTTTGGCATATTTAAAATTGTGCATTCTACATGTCAGAGTTCAAAAGTCAAGTGCTACATGTGATAAATTAGGCAGGGGTCAAAAGTTATTTCAATGCAGTTTCAGAAGATTGTCTGTCTCTGAATTTGCAGCTCATTCATGCTGAAGTGATGCACTATGGGAATTAGTACCAAACTCTGCTCCGCAACATCTGCTCTCCCTAAGTGAGTTAGTGCACGTCAGACATCTTTATGTCAGAATATTGCAGTGATGGATGCAGTCTTCAGAAAATGCTGCATAAAAATCTGGTGTGCCGTTCTGGCCATTAAGTGAAATTACTATTTAAATTAATGGCACTGTCACAGTTTATCTGTGCAAAGAATGAACGCTGATTAGGGTATTAAGTAATTAGCAATTTATCACACTGGAACAAGGTTGATAATAATTAAAGAAGTAATGGTTTACCAAAGAAACTAGAAAGGGAGTCACTTCTTGTTATGAGAGTGGAATCTTGGCTGAAAATTTTAATTCAGTGAAACAAAGATGAAGCTCTTTGTGAAAGAAAGCAACCTTTTTTTTTTTTTCCTAGTGTAAAAACAGTTCATTATCAAAATTTTAGTTGACCTGTCAAAAGTCCCTCAGAGCGATCAGATGACTGATTAGGAGTTTTGAATTAGGTCAATGTCTGCATTTTTATTTTATACTTAGAGCATGGTGAAACCATCAAGAAACTTGGGAGTAGAAGGGGAGAATGTATTCTGCTCCCTAAAGGGCCAGTTTTCAGTTTTCAGATTGCTCTTTAAAATGGAAACATGAATTATTTTAAGAAAACTGCTAGAGAAAAAAATGCCGGTAAAAAGCCCAAGGTTGTATTTAAATGTCTGATCAGAAGGCAGCAGGAAAAAAAAAATGTCCAAACAATACAAAATTTGAAGCTCTAGATTTGTGTAACATGTCAGTTTTACCATTTTATCATAATCAAAACTCAGATTACAATGATAGCTCTGCTGTGTGTATTTATGTGAAAAAAAAATCTTTCCTGGAAATGTTAAAACAATGAAATTTATTAATAAAGCACCAAAGAAAACAGTTTACTTTTTAAACCAATTACTTTGAACATTCACCACACTTAGATGGCATGCAGAAATTGAGTTATGATCAATATACATCATCTTAAAATATTGGGAGATTTTTTTTTAAAGTGGAAAGATCAGTGAGAGAGTTCTTTGGAGTCATGTGTGTCTAAACATCTTTCTTAAGGTATGTACCAAGCCAGTGTCTACTTTCGATAATTTTTTTAAATAAAAAGCACTTAAAACTCGCTGGTCTATTATTAGGAGTGTCTTTCATAATGTAGGTGTTTGTACAGGACCAGAACAAACAATTCAGGACCCCAGGGCACTTTGAAGTTGAGGTTCTTTATGTTATCAGTCAGGACTAATAATAAATAAACAAAATTCTAATTAAAATAAATCATTCATCACACTGTGCTGCTTTATCACTGGATATAAATTCCGATATAATAGCACTGTGACATAGGGTGTAGTCACCTTAATTTCTGGTTTAATCTGACGCTAGAGTATTGTTTATTTATTCAGGCTTGTATGTCTAAATTTCTGTTGTATCTCTTCTATGGCAAGATCTAAATGATGTGAACACAGGCAGTTAAACTGAATTTGGCGCAAGAAAGGAGGTTCGTTGGTGTGAAAGGCACACATGTCTTTCCTCAACAAGTGGGGCATCAATGTTCCCCCTTACAGGGTCTTTCTTTCCCTGCCTCCAACCTCTCATCCATGTCCAAGGATGGTTCCAGAACACAGTGCTGCTCAAAAAACAGTGGCCAAATTGTTCACCTGATCTGTGAGCAGGCTCAGATGGTTTTGAAGAAACCTATCTCATGAAGAAAGGATGGTTACCATTGCTGCTGGATTCACAAGAAGCAAATACGTGCACCCTCGACAAAGCCAGGCAAAAACTCATACGAATCCTACTACAGCATCTCCAATGACAGGATGGTCCTACCTCTCTCTCTCCTGTTCAGGCTCTCATCCTAGAGTGCCTCGGTGACCTTTTCTCCCTTGCAGATTTCTAGAGCTTTCTTCTGATCCACTGGACTTTATCCCTTTTCGTGCAAGACAATATTATCATCCCAAAGTGGGCAGGTGATTCTCGTGACGGAAATCAGGACTTTTTTTTATGGAGCTCAGGAGAAGTCTGGCCCCGCTGAATGGTTTTGGAACCCTTCCTCCTGAGTGTTCTTTACCTAATTAGTCTAGTGCTCTTGGTAGAAGGACCCTCACTGCACATTTAAATCACCTTGGTAAGGAAATGCTACCTTAGGTATTGTACCATTTCAGCAACTGCCTGAGTCTGACATTTTTATACCAAACTTTATAGCAGTCTCCGTTTTCTTCCTTTTTTTTTAAATTTCATATTCATATATAACATTTTATTGTTGCAGGGATGTTCTGTTGTGGGCAGGATTATGTGAATATGTCAGATACCATATGCTGCTCAGCTTCCAGTGGAGAGTCTAAAGCACATGTTAAAAAGAATGACCCAGTGCCAGTAAAATGCTGTGAGACTGAACTTATTCCAAAGAGCCAGAAATGCTGTAATGGGGTTGGATATAATCCTTTGAAATATGTTTGCTCTGACAAGATTTCAACTGGAATGATGATGAAGGTAATTGATAGAAAACCTCTCAGAGGTGCTGATTTGACAATGGAAAGAGAAATACATTGTTCGTAACTATTTTTCTAAAATAGGAATATAAAAACTCCTGTGTGCATTATTCATTTTCACATTACATCCATATTAATACCAAATGAGTTCGCGGTGATTGATGTTATTGCAATGAATTCTAAAGGAATTAATAATGATTAGCTGTTCTCAGGAAGCTTTACCCAGCACTCCAGATCAGTGCAGGACCAAAAGTCTGTGACGAAAGGGCCAGCACTTGTCAGCTGGGACCTCTGTGTCATGCCATTTTATGTCCATGGGTGCTGGGGATGGAAATGGAGAGAGAGCCTGTCTTCTCCCCTCAGAGCCTCTAACCATAATCCAACAGTTCCCTTTGATAGAGACTTTAAGATCCAGCAAATTCACTCGTGCTTATATCCTATTTCTTGAGACAGCAGAAGATCAGCAAATGCCTGCCACCCATGAAAGTGAACAGGCCTCTGAGTGTACCATTTGTTTGGATGTTGAGATGCTTCACGGCTGACATGTCATGTTTTGTTAGCATTAAACTTGACCCAGGGCTCCAGAAACCTATCAGTTTAAAGAACGGATTGTGGACTTCGAAAAATCAGACACCCTCCTCTGTTCTGTAGCAATCCACTATTAGGAGATGGTTGCAAAAGGGTGTTTGGGTCATAGACCATGGAAGGGCTCTTGCCAACTGATGCAACTGCACAGTCGTTGTGTAGACGCCATATACGTGGGATGTAAAGTAAGTCTCGAGATTGTTAGGGTCCCAGCAAGCACTTTGCAACAATTAAAGACAATTCATAAAGTTGTTAAAGAGAATAAGTACTTTATGAAGTGAATAATCATACAAAATACCCTTCAACAATAGTTTTTCATCTACAAATTTTTTTTTAGCAATTGGTCTGACCTATACACAACTTTAAAATAGCCTATTCCAGGGATGCCTGGGTAGCTCAGTCAGTTAAGTATCTGCCTTCAGCTTAGGTCATGATCTCTGGGTCCTGGTATTGAGTCCTGCATCGGGCTCCTTGTTCAGGGGGGAGTCTGCTTCTCCCTCTGCCTCTGCCTGCTGTGCCCCCTGCATGTTCTCTCTCTCTCTCTCTGGCAAATAAATAAATAAAATCTTAAAAAAATAAATAGCCAATTCTATGAAGTCTCTCCAACACTATGCACCCAAGGTCGGTTTTTTCAGAAGTTTGGACTAAGAAATTTTTCTGAAATACAGAGTCTTAAAAAGCTGGTGATGTTGCAAGAACATGACTTTTTTTTTTTTAAGATTTTGTTTATTTATTTGAGAGAGAGAGAACAGAGAGTGAAAGCAGTGGGTGCGGGGAGGGGGAGAAGGAGAGGTAGAAGCAGACTGCCTGCTGAGCATGGAACATGATGGGGGGCTCCGTTGCAGGACCCCAAGATCATGACCTGAGCTAAAGGTAGATGCTTAACTGACTGAGCCACTAAGGTGCTTTGCAAGGACATGTCTTTAAAAATGACCAGATAAGAAGCATCTATGTAGAAAACTCTAAAAGGGGCACTCATATTTGAAAAATGAAGATCGAAAACCTGTTTGTCTTAAAATGACACCACTGCTCACAACTATTTGCTTCATTTCTGCTCACTCACATTTGTTTCTTAGGCGTCTCATTTTGGTTCCAGGAAGATGTAGCTTCTGTGATGCAAGGACAATGTTCAGGCTATACCCATGATCTTTTAAATTGACTTAACTTGGCTTTAGGAAGGCCAATTAACAGTCATATCAAATATTCATATTTAAATTATTATTAGTAGGACAATATTTCTGAATGCCAAATCAAGCAGTAGGTAAAGGTAAAGTTCAAGCTATGGATTGCATTTTGTTTCCTGAAGACCTCTTTCCTGGAGACTTCTATCACCTACTCCAATCAGGACTAGACCACTGTGGGATTTCTCCCCCTGCAAGTCTTCTCTAACTGTGGGTTTGGGAATCCCTTTTACTTCTCTCCCGTGTTGGTATCCCTGTGTTCTCAATCCAAGGGTCCGCTTTTCTTGCCTTATTGCCTTCTTTTGGAGAAATATCATTTGGGGTATAGGTGCGTAAAAGGTAAAATTTTTGAGGCTTGACATTTGAAATGATCATTTTTCAAGCCTCCCACTGGATTGATAGCTTGGCTAGGTAAACAATGCAAGGTTAAAAATTATTTCCACTGAGGATTTTGACATCATGTCTGCATTTTTAAACTTTCATTGCTCTTCTGATTCCTGTTTCTTCCTAGATACCCATGTTGTTTTTCCTATGAAAGTTTTGAAGAGATTCTCTTTATTCTATTTTTCTAAAATTTCATTAAAAAATTTAAAAAAAATAAAATTTCATGACAGTATGTCTCTTTGGGGATGATATTATTATTATTATTCATGAAGCTGTACTTTTTGTGGATTTTTTTCAGTGTGAAATGTCATGACCTTTAGTTCTGGGGAATGTTATTTTATTATTTCTTTGATAATTTGCTCTCTTCTTAATCTCTGTTTTTACTGATTAGTTTGGTGTTAGACTTTCCATCTTTTCTTTATATTTCTTAACTGTTGATTAGTTAAATCTTCATCTTTTTCAACACGATCAGATTTTGCCTTAGCTTCATCTTCCAACCTTTGTATTAATTGATTGATTTTATTTAGCTCTCATATTTTTTATTTTCTATTTTTTAGGTTCTTTTTTTTAATTTTAGTTTTTCAGGGTTCTTTCGTTTTTGCTGGCTGTTCTTTGTTCATGCATCCCACTGTTGTTCCATTCCATTTTTTTATCATTCTGGAAATACTAATCCCATTGTTTATTGTTTCCTGGTTGTTGTTTATTTGCATTTTTCCTTGAATTGTCTCATTTGTTTGATACTATTTTAGTTTTCTTCTTTGCCTTGTTTTGTTTCTGCTCCCTTCAGTTCTTTTCTCTGTTTTTAAATCTGTTCTTTCCTCTAGAGGCTGAGTGAGAGCTCATTGCGCGGACGCATCTGTTAGTGGGGAGCGGACAGTAGCCCCATCATGTGGCAGGATGGTTTTGTGTCAGGGAGTCACATTACCAAGAACCCTTAGAAGATCTGCTTTATTAACTATCCTTAAAAATGCATCCTAGATCAGGATGAGACATATGCTTGGCTGACAACATACAGGGAATCAGTAGGAAAGGGCCCTGGGATTCTCACTGTGCAATATGCACACTTGTGTTTGGTTTTCCCACTCTGGCTGCTGGCCTGTATCTTCCAGTTGACTCTCTTTTTTCCTTTTAATTTCACCAAATCTTCTCTAAGCTCTATCTCATTTGTAACCCTTTACCAAAATGCAGCTAGGAACAACACAAACCTATTGCTAATGTTCTTGATTATAACTTCCTCCCTTAGGGCTATGATCTTGGTAGCACTGGCTTACTTTGACAGTTATCCCAGGTCATAAAATCAAATATTTAGCCACAGCATAACAGAGTTCCCCAACTTTCCAAACCCCAGTACATATTTCTTTGCCACTGCCCACCTAAAAGTTAAGCCAATGCCATGAGATTTAGGACTTTAATGTTGTTGTTAAGACAATATCCAACTTCAAAGTTCTAATATATGTTTTAGCTAGGACATGCTAGACTACGCCAAAATAAAAACAAACGCACTCACATATGAAATGGGTCCATAGAATAAAATTTTTAAAAAACAGTTTTTCACATTGCAATCCAGTGTGAGTTTGGCAGCTCCCCTCCAAGGAATGTGTCAGGGGCCCAGTCGCTCCCATCAGCTGGGGCTTCACACACGACCCTCACATTGCAGTGGGAGAGAGTGGATGATTACACATGTTTGAGTCCCACCTACAAGCAAAAATGAATCCTTCCTGTAGAGTAAGCACATGGACATTTCTAGTCATGTGCCTTTTCCTACTCAGCTGGACTTGCAAATCTGGTATCCCTGGGGAGAAAAAACAAAATAGACATGACTGGGCACGTGGGACTGTCTCTGCCACATTCATCCAGTTCCGAGCTTCCAAACATGTTTGGGCTGTCCTGTGGCTATTAGTTCCCTTCCTGTTTCCTTGGACTTTCTCTGTTCTCTTACGGTCCTCTAGTTGGGCTTCATGAGGACATGAAGCTAAGTGCATATATTCCTATTCAAATGGAAATCCTACTGTAGCTTTCTGAAGCAGATTTACTTTGACAGCTTTTGGGTTGGGAGAATAATTTTACGTATACGAGGTAAGAGAGTTTGAATGTAGATCAATTTTAAACAGCAAAAAATTATTTTCCATACATTATGCCATCTACGGTGCCTGGGTGTCTCGGTCGGTCGAACAACCAACTCTTGGTTACGCTTCAAGTCAAGATGTTAAGATCGTGAGATGGAGCCCCAGGCCAGGCTCCCTGCTCAGTACGTTCTGCCTAAGATACCTTCTCCTCCTCCCCCGCCCCGACACCTGCTCCTTCCCCTGCTCCTGCTGTCTCTCTAAAATTAATTAATTAATTAACTAAGCCGCCTATGAAAAGGAAAGATGAAGGAAAGTTTTGCATTACAAAATTGTTGCCTTATTCATATCTCCTGTAATCTGGGATGATGAAATATTTCATTTTCTGACATTAGAACACACTTGTACTTACCAATAACTCTAAAAAGTCCAGAGAGTCATCAGAGGAAAGGTTTACAAATGTAAATAATAATAACTCTAATGAGAGTTCATGAAATATGTAGATTTTTTTAAAACTTAGACAAGGAAAACTTCTTAGAAGTCCAACTTGTCCTACAGCACAAAAGGGCAGATTCTCAAATATCTCATTATTTTCTCTAAAGCTCCATTAGAAAAGTGTCAAAGTAACAATAGTAAAATAATTACTCCTGCTCTTCTTTATACTTAAATTATATTTATAATCGGGGTGCCTGGGTGTCTCAGTGGGTTAAATTATATATACTATCATCTTATATAGTTCTATTTAAGTGTAAGGTATTTACAGGTGTTACCTTGTTTGATGCACATAACAAACCTTCATGGTAAATGTAATTTCCGTTTTCTGACGGAGGTTGCTGAGGCTTCGAGAGTGTACATGACGTGCTCAAGGTCACAGAAGTAGGAAGTGGCAAGATAAGACTCCAAATCCAAATCTATATCATCCACACCAGAACTGCTTTCGAGTATACGCACCACCTCCACTTGTTTTCATAAGTCTTGAGACATTTATTCGTGAGCTAAGTGGAAGAAAATCTCATTTTCATCTTGTAGAAACCTGCCCCATGTACATCTAAATGTAAATTTTTAAAAGACTTGTTTATTTATTTTAGAGAGAGAGAACACATGTGTGTTGGGGGAGGGGCAGAGGGAGAGAAGCTCCAGCAGACTCCCTGCTGAGCACAGAGCCCCACGCAGGGCTGGATCCCACAGCCCAAGAGATCAGGACCCATGAGATCATGAACTGAGCTGAAACCATGAGTCTGATGTTCGACCAGCTAAGTCACCCAGGCGCCCCTGTCCAAACGTAACTTTTAAATCTCCTTCTCCCCACCTCCACCACTCAGGAAAATGGAGAGTGTGGGACTCTCTGCCCAGCGTCTCTGGAAGCCACGGCGTACTGCGGCACGTGTGACTTCAACTTCACCAGCCATGTTTGTGCTGTGATCAGAGGGCCTCATGATTCCCCCGGCAAGGAACCAACAGACGAAATATGCTCGTCTGCTGAAGAGACCGTTCACACGGGAAGTGCAAACACGTTCTCCTTCACAGGTAACAGAAACCGGGCCACCTGTCCGTGGCTTAGGAGAGATAGTGAAAAGCTGCAGAAAATGCATCCTTGTTTCATCCTGATGTCAGCCCCCTCCTTAACCTAGTATCAGCTAATTTCTTCATACTGTGGGCTAGCTAGTTACAAGGTAATTAAAGGCACACTTTGGATCTGTTCAAAGTTAGTAGTTTAAAAAAAGTGGAAAGTCTAAATTCAGACAAAGGTATGTACTGTTTTAAAATAAACGTGTAGAAATTTCAGAACAGGGAACTAGCTTATGTGTTCTTTTATGGTATACCCAGTTAATCATCAGTGAGCCCCATTTTCTTTCTTAAAAGTGTGAATGTAGGCTTTCAATAAATGCAAAGCATGAACGTTGCTGTACCTGTAGGCAGAAAACAGGAAGAAACCTGTCTGATCACCATTAAGACCTCACAGCATTATTCTGGGGACGAGCTTAAACTATCCCTTTCTTGATCTTGGGTCTGGGTCTGGAGACTGCACTCTCCCACAGCCTGGTGTCGCCACTAAATGGCCATTGTCTTGGGAACAATAACCTTCACAGTTACTGAAAATATTAATTTTCAGGCCCCATCTTTGCCCTGCTGAGTTCCTCGGAAATAGTGGTTCCCAGGCTTGGCTAAACTGAGTGAAAAACACTGTAAAAGTTTAAGCTCATCTCCAAAATAGTTCTGTCCTCTATTAAATTTTTATTATTTGTCCATTTACTTAAGTCCCTACAGAGTTTGTTTCTGCCTTTTGAAAACTTAAGTGTCTGTGTGTGTGTGTGTGTAGCTGTGTGTGTGTATGTATGTGTGTGTGTGTGTGTGTGTATATATATATAAAACCATCCATCATCTAGAGTCAAATAGAATACATTTACGTGACATAATTCAAGCAAGCTAAGGTTAACTAAACTGCTCTGTTCCATCCTGACTCACTATTCTGCCTTACTTAACTGATGGTGGGTGATAATGGCAAACCTTAAGATTACAAAAAAATAAGGCAAGATGCTGGAGTGAGGAAGTCGATTAAGGAGGGAAAGCAGGAACAGAGATAAGGTTCCAGTGATGTGCTAGATTCTTTAAAACCTTACCTTAATTTACCCACAAAGCAATCATGGAAGTATGGCCATTTAACAGATGAAGAGACTGAGGGTCATCTATAAAAGTACGTTGCTAAGGGAAGATGTCAGATTTAAATCACGTCGCCCTCAAGACCCGCAGATTTAGAAGACTCTTCATGGTGTAGGAGGTCCTCTCACAGTGCTCCAAACTCCCCTCAAGTATTTCTGCCACCTGAAATGTCCTTCTTCATCATTCCCAGGGTGTAAGTGAACATTCTTGTCCCCAGTGCAGGCTTCTCAAGCCCAGTGTCTCTCTCCTCTCACACAAGAACATGACGTTCACTTCTACCTTGTGTCGTGTGCATCTGGACCTTTGTTCCATCCCTCCTACGAGATTGAAATAGTGGTATGAACAAGACGCCCTTGCTTCACTTTACCTCATTCTTGGATTAACACACTTTAAGCAAACAAAACAAAACAAAAACATTCATTGGAATGCATTTAATCAGGAAAGTCCTCAGAATAGAGAACAATTCCTTAAACCCTCCAATGTCCTTCCACGTCCAGTTACAGATTTAAGGACCCTCATTTCCAAATTAGTGGGTTTGGTCTAGATGCACATGATCCAAGAGAATTCTGTAGTTTTATCTGCCTTTTGAAGTCAAGGTGAAGATTTTGAAGGTCCCTTAAGGCATATTTGCAATAGCCTTCTCCAGAGGAGAAAATGTTTAACTTATTTAAACATCCATATTTCAGATTGCTTTGCCTACCAAAGAATACTATAAATTAAATATGAAAAATAACAAAAATTTCTCTTCCAAGAACAAAACTAAACACCAAAATCATGCTAAAACAATACCATTGAGACCAATTTGGACTAAGAAGTCCACCTTTCTTAGAAATTTATAGTTAAAAGCTAAACAACATCAGAGCGCACCCAAATTCATTCACGCATACAATCATTTCATTTATCAAAAAATATTTCTTAAATTGTTACTAATAACCAGTCCCCACACTGGTAGCCCACCAGCTGTGAAAACAAATAAGTAAGACTTTCCATCAGGGATTTGAAGCCCGTATGAACAGACAGGGGACAAATATGAGTACCCTGTAATGTGAGAAATACGTCCATGTAAGAACTGCAACAGAAGTAAGCATAGGATGCTTTTCAAGGGCATTGCAAGGACATCTAACCCAGACTGAAGAGGTTAGGAAAGACTTGTGAAGGATATCATGCCTGAGCTGAGCTGAGAACTGAAGAACAAGTAGAAACATACCAGTTCAAAGCAAGGGAAGGTAGGCAGAGAGGGCAGCATGTACAAAGCACAGGAAGTGAGAGAAAGCCCAGTCAGATGTGAAAAACAAGGCCCTTGATTTGATTGTAGCATCCTGAAGGAGAGGAGAAACCATGGGGATGAGGCCAAAAAGCAGGGGTCAGCAGACGAAGGCCTTTTATACCACACTAAGCAGGCAGCAATGAGGCCATATTAAAGCTTTTCAGCAATAGAACAACACAATCCTGTACATGCGTTTTTGAAGAACTATCAGCTGAAGAAATGATTGCAGACAAGTATGCATGGGACATTTAAGCCAGTAACAAGTAAAAATTGAGTGAGTCTACCCCCCCAAAAAGCAAAACCCTCTGTTATTTGAAGACTAGTCCCTTATAACGTACATAATGATTTTGAGATTACAAAAGATGGGGGGGGGGGTATTTTCTTTTCTTTTCTTTTTTTAAAAAAGAGTTGAGTTGGAAATTCTGGCAAAGAAAAAAACTCAGAAATAAGAGAGATTGTTGAGGGAAGGCAAAATTTCAACTATGCTTCCTTATGTGTAAAACAAAAAGAATTCTTTCATGAGCTAGGAGCATCTTTTAAAGACCAGGCCTCACAGGAAAACAAAGAAATGAAGATAAGAGATGAGAGAGTAAAAAGAATGAAATGCCATAGAGGAAAGAACAAGAACCACAGCATGCCAAGCTACTGCAACTGAAATTAGAATTGGTGATGTGGGCTTGAAGGGTTGGAAAGAACAGTTACTAGCAATGAGCAGTTCAATCTGCTACAGCCAATTGATTGAAAAATATAGTGACCTCATGTGAGTAGGTGGATGGTCTGGGCAGCTCGGCCCTACAGTCATTCGGGGATCCAGATTCCTTCCAGGTGATGGCTCATGATGTTTCTGGTGCTGCCGTCCTTCCCATGGTACAACCTGGGTCACCACAACATCCTACTTCCAGGCCACCAAAAGGGGATGAGAAGGTCAATGGAGGGAAAGTGATTCCTCTTAGGAAGTGAGACACTGGTTGCCTATATCACTGTTGTGCTTCTTCTGTTGTTGAGATCTGAGTCACCTGATAACCCCAAGCTGCAGAGAAAACTGGGAAAATTAGACCCTAGGCAGAAGGCCTCTGACAGAAGGGAGATCTGGGCACCCACCAGTGGTCATCCCAGGTAACAAATGGCAGATGCCCCCTGAAGACAGAAGATAAGCCCTCTATTTTATAGCAGTTTACATTTAATGATATTTTGGCACATAACATCATGCATTTTATTTTCATACTAATTCTATAAAGTAGGCAGGTCAGGGTTTATGGTAAGGAAATATATTTTAAAAAAGGCAGTAAAAAAACCCACATGGATGGATGGAGACTCATCCCAACATAAAGATAGGGCAAGTGGCTGAGAAGCCAAGGAAGGACCTCTTCTTCTGATCTCCCCTCTGAGAAGTCATCCAGAAACCACCACACAAAAATCCGTGCATACAAACATAGTCAAAATTCACAAAATTAAACAGATTTAGCCAATTAATTTTTCAGTTTGTTTGTTTTTTTGTAAATTTGTAGCATTTGTGTTTCTGAAGTTACCAAAGCTTAAAACTGAACAAAGACTTTTGGCATGCCATTGAATCACATGGATGATTATCTAATAAAATCATTGCCAGAACAAAACACTCAACAGTTTAATTCTTTTCTTTAGATTGGTTGTTTTGAGTTTGGGTTTCAGTTCTGGTTGGGCAAAAGAGGGAAGGATGTGTGTAGTGGATTGTGCATTCCACTAACCACTAATCATTTATAACGCTATATATAAATATATAAATTTATATATATAAATATATATTTATATATATACTATATCCATATATAACTAGTTATATCCACTAACCATAAGCCAAGTTTCCAGTCTTATATATCATAGTAACTATATATTATATATAATCCATTATATTTTACATAATATATTAAATTATATATAATTTAATAATTTAATGTAATATGAATGGTGTAATAATTGGTAAGATTTATAGTATCAGACTATAAAAGCAGGTTGGTGAACCTGCCCCTTACAGAAGTGGGAAGCACTAACATCCAGTGAACATTAGTCTAGTACTTTAGGTTTTCAGTCATTCCTTTCATGTTACCCATTATTTGATCAGAGAAAGTGAATTCTTTTCTGTGGAGTTCCATATCTTTGCATCCAATAAACACATAAAGTGTTTTTCTTATGATTTAGAACATTAAGAGATGAGAGTTCTAGCATTAAGCATTTATTTTTAAGTTTTTAAAAGTTTTTATATTCATTTTCAATATGATGGTAAAAAAAATGTTTTTAAAAGCTTGCTGTTCAATTTCTCCCTTTCCAGATGTGAACCTGGAGCCTTATATGACGTATGAGTATAGGATTTCTGCATGGAACAGCTATGGGCGAGGATTCAGCAAAGCCATTAGAGCCAGGACAAAAGAAGATGTGCCTGAAGGACTTCGTGACCCTAGGTGGACCAAAATGGATAATCTTGAAGATGTGATACTCTTAAGTTGGAAGAAACCTATACAGTCAAATGGTATTAAGCTACTTTTTAAATTGAAATAACAAAATCCTATAAATCCATAAGGAAATTGAAATGAGTGTAATCTACATGTAACTGGCATGCATCTCACCATTAAAAATTATTTGCTGGTAAAAGGAACCTTAGGTGTGTGCCTACTAATCATTCATTCTGTAAAATATGACTCACAAGTTTTTAGTCCAGGAATTTTTTTCTCGAACCCTAGCATATATGTCTGAGCTGCTTTCAAACAAGCAAAGACTGCTAAGGAAAGGCAAAATAGTTTTCATATTGGAAGAAATTTTGTTTGGTAGTGAGGGAAAATAAATATAAATGACTTTAATTATTTGTGTCCAGAATCCCTCTCTTCAATAAGAGTGCATATCGCTGAGTACTGCTTGAACATAGCAATCCGATAGCAAATTAAAAGTAAGTAATGCTAGATTATTCTATTTCCTCAGGACCCTAAGACATGTGAGTTGTTTGCAAATAGTTAAAAGGATCTGACACTCAAATCCGGGTATTTCTCTGTCTCTTTTAGGTCCAATTATCTACTACATTCTTCTCCGAAATGGGATTGAACGTTTTCAGGGAACGTCACTGAGCTTTTCTGATACGAAGGGAATTCAGCCATTTCAGGAATACTCGTACCAGCTGAAAGCCTGCACGGTTGTTGGCTGTGCCATCAGCAACAAGGTAAGGGAAGGAGCCCAAACTCTGGACAGAAGTAGCCAGTGGGAAGACTATAGGAACATCCAGGTTGTGAATGATTTTTGCACTGTCAGAAAACAATATCTGCCTCAATGGTAACACGTTCACATGGCATCTCATCTGACTACTAATATGTATGTCCAGAAGGAGAGAGCACTGCAAAGGAAATGTATCCATGTGTCAATGTTTCATTAGTTTAAAAAAAAAAAGGGGGGGGGGCGCCTGGGTGGCTCAGTGGGTTAAAGCCTCTGCCTTCGGCTCAGGTCATGATCCCAGGGTCCTGGGATCGAGTCCCACATCGGGCTCTCTGCTCACCAGGGAGCCTGCTTCCCTTCCTCTCTCTCTCTGCCTGCCTCTCTGCCTACTTGTGATCTCTGTCTGTCAAATAAATAAATAAAAATCTAAAAAAAAATGCATATGCTTAAAAAAAAAGAAAGAAAATTTGAACCAATATTACCCTCTTTATCACATTTTCCCTCTGCCAACTATATTTTTAATTAGGTTATGTTAGTCACCATATAGTACATCTTTGGTTTTTGATGTAGTGTTCCATGATTCAATATTTGCGTATAATACCCAGGGCTCATTATAACATGTGCCCTCCTTAATACCCATCATCAGGCTCACCCATCCCCCTAACCCCCTGCGAAACCCTCAAATTGTTTCCCAGAGTCCATAGCCTCTTACTGTATGTTTCCCCCTCTGACTTTCCCACCTCCAGCTTTTCCTTCCTTCCCCTAATGTCCTCCATGACATTCCTTATGTTCCACATATAAGTGAAACCATATGATAATTGTCTTTCTCTCTTTGACTTATTTCACTCAGCATGGTACCCTCCAGTTCCATCCATGTCAGTACAAATGGTGGGTGTTCATCCTTTCTGATGGCTGAGGAATATTCCATTGTGTATATGGGCCACATCTTCTTTATCCATTTGTCTGTTGAAGGGCATGTCGGCTCCTTCCACAGTTTGGCTATTGTGGACATTGCTGCTATGAACAGTGGGGTGCATGTGCCCCTTCTTTTCATTTCATCTGTATCTTTGGGGTAAATACCCACTAGTGCAATTGTTGGGTCATAGGGTAGCTCTCTTTTTAACTTTTTGAGGAACCTCCATACTGTTTTCCAAAGTTCTGCCAACTATTCTCAGATGATCTTCTATAAATCCATAACAATTCTCAAATCATTCCTCAGTTTAAAAGTTTCTATTTAAATATCACTTTAAGGGCACCTGGGTGGCTCAGTGGGTTAAAGACTCTGCCTTTGGCTCAGGTCATGATCTCAGGGTCCTGGGATCGAGTCCTGCATCAGGCTCTCTGCTCCTCAGGGAGTCTGCTTCCTCCTCTTTCTCTCTCTGCCTGCCTCTTTGCCTACTTGTGATCTCTTTCTGTCAAATAAATAAATAAATTCTAAAAATATATATATATAACTAACAAAAATTGCCTTCTCTTGAAACACAGAAAGGGGCAAAAGAGCCTGGCATAGAAAATAAAATGATACCAAGATTTCTGCTGCAGTATAGGAAAGAAATGAGCTCATGTAACGGGAGTCAGAGTGGAGAATATCAGGAAGATAGAACAGATGTTGGGGGATGAAATCTGTAGGACTTGGTGTCAACCAAATGCAGGGTAATACGAGAAATTGCTGTCAACTCTATGCAGGGTAATAAGAGGAAAGTATCAAAGATGTTATTCAAGATCTCTGGCTCTCTGGCTTGAGCAAATTATAGATCACGGTGCCATTCTGCAAGCAAATAAAAAAATAAAAGAGGAAAATTTGAGTGTAGAAGAAGATTAAAATTTTAAGCCTTTTTAAAATATATATATTTTTAAGAGAAGGAACAGATAGAGTGACAGAAGAAAATATTACTTGGCACTTTAAGCAAAAATGTCTTGTCAGAGTCTGGATTACGAAGTGACTGATTTGCTAGAAGGATCCATGTGGGAAGTTGAAGCAAGGAGTTTGAATAGGGTCATTTAAGGAGAAGAGAGAGAGAAAAAAAAAAAAATAGACCATAGATGATGAGCACTGGGAATGCAAAGGGCCCACAAAGGAGACTGGAAAGAAACAGTGAGATGATTTAGGAGAAAAATAAAGAAAGAGCCATCTCACAGAAGCCAGCCTAGTCAGAAGAAACCAGGAGAAACAAACACACAGCAGCTCTGATTCTTTTCATGTGGTTACAACTTTATAAGAACAGCATCTTCACACACTGTGCAAGAACCATCCAAGGAAAACATTCAGTCAGATGGGTCCACCGCCGTGCATATGTGCAGCTTTTCATTCAGCAGACCTCCAGAAACGTCTCCGAGCGTGGCACCATTTAAACAGATGGCAGCTGATTGGGCCCCATCAAAAGTTATGGTCCGAACGGTCCTAGAACAATTCCATGTCTTTTTACACAGGCACAGCTCCTGCCTACCAGATGCCAGAACAATTGGTTAAAAAACTGAAACCAGAGTTAATTCTGTGAAAAAACAAATGTAGCTAATTTTTATCCAAAACTGTATTTTGATAATGCTGCATAAATAACCAGTTGACTTATCCTTTTTTCTTTCTCATTCAGTTCTTTTTCCAGAACGTTGGTATAGAGGCTATTGAGACATCCTGGGTATCACAGGAAGAATATTAAAAAAAAAAAAATCTGCCCATTTATACTGTTCAAAGCATATTATATGCAAGCAAGTTCAGATGTGGGTTTTGCTTCATATTTACTGGTGCTTAAAATGTACAAAATCAGGCTGTTAAAATGCAAAGACACTGATGGGCCATATGGAAGAGAGTCATCAAGAGTTCTCTAGCAAGACAGTCTGCCCGCCAGATTTTACTTGTTTAAACTGAGGGCTGCACTCTGCCGTCAAAATTGTTGTTGAACTTGTTGTGATAAATGGTAGTTTGAGACTTAGGTAATGTATTCAAGGTCAGATTTCATTGTTTAAATAGGATGGAAGGAAAAGAATAAAAAGAAAAAAAAGGAAGAAGAAGAAGAAGGAGACCATTTCTCCAAGCCCCCGCTAAAGATATGCCAGGCCAGACAACAACATTTTAAAACAAAAGTGACATTCTCATTGATCAGAATACCTAGTGTCCTATTACCACAAATTGCTGTTTAATTCCTGTTTGCAGGTAGTTGCCGCCACTACCCACGGAGTCCCGGAGAGCGTCCTGCCGCCCAGAGTCACAGCACCCAGTGCAGAGGCTCTGCATTTGAGCTGGAGCGTCCCTGAGAAACCAAATGGCATCATTAAAGAGTACCAGCTCAGGCAGGTTGGGAAAGGTCTCATCTACACTGGCACCACTGACAGGAGGCAGCATACGGTCACAGGTGAAAAAAAAAGAGGAAAACCTACCGGAAGAGTCTGTCATTGTGGTTAGGGGGGCAAAGCATCCCAGGGGTGTGCGTTTGATATATGAGGTCACTTCGAAAGGACGTGTTCTCTTGACATATGGTCAGGTCCCACTTATCCATGCTAATAGAAGAGCCCACACTGGCAGCAATAAGCCACAACAGCAGATAACTTCAGAAATAATTTATATTTGGCTTTGATATGCATTATGTGTAGGGTTTTTGCATCAGTATTACCTTTTTTTTTTTCCCTCAGACAAACGGTAAGATGCATTTTCATTCCCCAAGGATATACTCATAGATAATGGGATGAGAATAGCCAGGAATGTACTGGAAGGCAGGGAGAAATCGTCCAGAGGCTAACATTTATCTACTGAGTGGGTAACTAATACACAGAATAGTTGACAGGTGACTGTGACAATTTGTTATTATTAACGTTAATTAATAGTGACTGTATTATTTTTATGGTTTGTTATAACATTTATTACAATTAACTGTAAAAAAATAATAGTACAGTATAATGGCATAAAGTCAGATAATTACTAGACGTGATTATAATAATAATTAACATGTTTTGTTTTGAATGTCATTTCTGAAGAGAAGTGAAGCGTTTTCTGACATTCCCGTTCTAAGGAAGCCTCTTTATTACACCATGGTTATCACCTGGTCTTATTTTTGTCATGGATCTCTCACTACCTAATAGTGCTTGTTTTCTGTATCTCCCCAAATTGGGTCGGGGATACCTAGTTCAATACAGTTTGATATTGTTCGGTATAAATCAGTACCTAGTTCAATACAGTACTTCCAGCGCCTAGAACAATCCCTGACATATCTGTAGATGCTACACAAAACTACACAAATGTTTGGGGAACACATGGATTTCCCATGTGACACCTGGCATGTACTATCTTGTTTGATTCTCTCCACAAATCTATGTGGTAAAAAGAGTTATTACTCGCATTTTACAGAAAAGAATACTTTGAGATGGTAAGTAACTTGGTTCATTACTCAGATCTACTGAATCATTCCAAACAGTTGTGTGAGTTTAGGTTCTGAGGCCATAGGCAAGAGATTACAAACTTCCTTTTCCTCCATTGTCAGCAGCTTCCTTCCAAGGTCCCCTGAGTGAATATTCTTCTTCCATTGGACCCCTTGGCTTGCATGGAGCATTGATACTAGAGATCAGGAAACTCATAAAGAAGTACAGAAAAGCCTGGGAAAGTGTGCCTGAGTTTTCCTCAGAGGAAGCACAAGTTATACTACACAGGTGGAAAAATCAGTTCATGATTTGCTCTTAATTCTATGATGCCCTGACACACAAGCAGGTATTCATTGACAGATGTCTACTGTCTTCAGGAAGTTCCAGAAGTCAAGTGCTCTAAAACAAGATTGCTGCTCTCAGGAAGCTTCCAGTGAGGGGCGCCTGGGTGGCTCAGTGGGTTAAAGCCTCTGCCTTCAGCTCAGGTCATGATCCCAGGGTCCTGGAATCGTGCCCTGCATCGGGCTCTCTGCTCGGCAGGAAGCCTGCTTCCTCCTCTCTCTCTGCCTGCCTTTGCCTACTTGTGATCTCTGTCTGTCAAATAAATAAATAAAATCTTAAAAAGAAGAAGAAGAAGAAGAAGAAGCAGCAGCAGCTTCCAGTGATAGGGAACACTGACAAGTTAAGAACTAATTGCAAATACAGTGCGACCGATACAACAGCAGAACTCCAAAGAACGCAGTGGGGGGAAATCAAAAGAGTAACCTGGCTTGGAAAATGGAATGTCGGTTGCAGAGCTTCGAAAGCCAAGTTAAGACACATTTAGATTTTGTATCAGTAAAGGTTTCACAAAAAACCAGGATACCGTGATATGGAATGTTCTTCTTAGACTATATGTCTCCTCAGCCAGCATGAGCTTTGAACTGTGTGAGCTGTTCTGATTTGCATTTTTTTTAAAAAACAAGCATTTACATGCCAACAGAATAAATTCAAATGTAATGTGTACACCAACAGGATTGATAGCCTCATTAATTATAAAATAATTGGGAAGCTTTTTCTTTAAAACACCTTTATTCCACCAGTTCTTCTTCTCATTGTCATTTTTAATGAATATTCTCATGTCAGAGAGGATTTCACGCACATCACTTGATGCCTGGAGTTCTCTTTTATTAGGAAAAATATTTTAAAGTTTTTCTATATGGTTTTACTTTTTATAAGATCATAAAATGAAAAGAAGCCTTTAGGATTCATTTGGTTCATTCATCTGCTCCATTTTAAGTAGATGTAGACAGTATTTCACTTGGCAAGACAGTCCTAAAGAGAAGTGTCTTTGTCGCATGAGGAAGCAAACCCCTTAGATCTTAGCATAACCTCACCGAGTACAGCCTCCTATATATGCTGTCCCTGCTGGATGGCAGCGGTGCTGGGCATTAGCTCATCTAAAACCTGAGTTCTATCTAATGTTCCTATACCTTATCTGCCAGGAAACATTCGTTTCCATAGTTCTCTAACTGACCAAATTCACTATGGAAGTATTTTATGATATAGATGACTATTTTACTGCATTCGTGAAACAAACGGAAACAACCAGATTTACTTTACATTGCATCTCCCAAGTTTGATTAAAGGGCTACCTGTACCCTCTGGGATAAATGTTTTGCTTTTCTCATCATTTCCAAAACCTTGGTTCCCTAAGTTAACAGCCAAACACTAATGAAGTTGTAGCACCAGTCATCCTGGAACTTGAAAATCTAGGTCCTTAGAAATGACAGAAGGGAAAGCGAACACCTTGCCTCAGCCCCATTGTCTCCATGCTTATTTTTAATTACCTCAAAGCTTTAGAAACATGATCCCCTAAATGCTTTGTGGGAATAGTGGCGAATGCACTCATCATGTGAAATCCATAAATTGCTTATAATCCTCTCAAGATGTTAAAAAAAGCATTAAGTAATTGAAGACAGGAAGTCCTCAGTTAATTATTTAGAGGTGTTATCAATGCTTTAAGTAAACTGAAGCATTTTCTGCTATCTCACTGAGCTGAATACCATGGGGACGAAGGAGAAACAGCCATCATCTTCTCATATCCGCTAATGCAAACAGCACATGGCAGCTTGTCAATAAAAGACCTTTTCATATCATTTATTACTAAACAGGTCCGCCATCCTGCGCAGAACAATTGGGACGTCAGTTATGGCATTGTTTCACTTTGGGTTACCACTGCTTTATATATGGGCCTCCTAGCATGGGCACTGGGCAGAAGAGATGGAGAAAGGATTAACTAAATAATTAGGGCCACCGAGAACAAAATGAATTAATCATGTCCTCTTTAGCAGCAGATTTGATAAGGGTTTATGTGTCTCTTAACTCTGGGAGAAAAGTGTTTTCAAAATAATTTATTAAAAGTTGCTTATCAAAAAAAAAAAAAAAGTTGCTTATCATTGCATTTTCCTTGAAAAGGAAGACCCACCAGCATTAAGTTAGCAAGGAGAGAACAATTTGCCTTCCTTTTCCATTTTCTTAGAAGCTCATGAAGATCTCCTGTGCTAAAATAGCATACACCCTAACAAGGCAGGTTGTAGCAGACAGGCACTATTAATGTACTGGAACAGATATCCTGAGCATCATTGTTGAAGGGAAAAAAAAAAAAAAAGGACACACTTTGACCATCAGTACCAGAAAATGTGGAAATTCCTTATAAGGGGATCTTCTGTTTCGATAATTCTGCTGTGTCCTCCCATGGTAGCCAGTACTTGGCTCTTGGCTCTCATGGCATTTATGATACTTTATCACAATATTCCTTCTTCCTGTCACTATTCCTCAGCTAATAGGTGAAGTTTTCTAAGGGCAGACAATAGCTTCCTGTTTGCCATTGTATCGTCTATACTGAGATAGGCACCTATCAGAGTACTTAACATATTAAGTATTCACGAAGATTTGTTGAGTGGGTAGATACTGAGTAGTAAACTAGGATCTGAATGATTTTATTCTGTTTTGATCGGATGCAAAAATCATACTGTCAAATACATCTAAATCTCAGGCAGGAATGGCTACATCATTTTCAGAGTCCAGGGCAAAATGAGAATGTGGAGTCCTTTGTCCAAAAATTATTTAGGTATGACTCAACATCCAAAAAAACAAATAATCCAATTAAAAGGTGGCAGAAGACATGAACAGACATTTCTCCAAAGAAAACATACAGATGGCCAACAGACATGTCCTCAACATCACTCAGCATCAGTGGAATGTAAATGAAAACTGCAGTGAGAGGTCACCTCACGCAAGTCAGAGTGATGAAAATCAGAAACACAAGAAACAATAGGTGTTGGTGAGGATGTGGAGAGAAAGGAATGCTCATGCACTGTTAGGTGGGAATGCAGTGGTGCATTTTTACCTCAAAAAAAGTAAAAATAGAGCTACCCTATGATTTGGTAATTGGACTACTGGGTATTTGCCCCCAAAATACAAAAACATTAACCAAGAAGGATCCAGGATTGAAAGGATGGAAGCAGCCCAAGTGTCCATCAATGGATGGATTTTTTTAAAAATCCATATATATATATATATGTATATATACATATATATAATATAAAATATATAAAAATATATATTTTAAAAATATATATACATCTACAGTGGAATGTTATTTGGTCACAAAAAATAAAATCTTGCCATTTGCAACAACATGGATGGAGCTAAAGAGTACAATGCTAAGTGAAATAAGTCAGATAAAGACAGATAATGTAAGATTTCACTGATATGCAGAATTTAAGAAACAAAACAGATGAACAAAGGGGGAAAAAGGAGAGACAAACCAAGGAACAGACGCTTAACCCTAGAGAACAAACTGGTGGTTGCCAGAGTAGGGGGTGCCTGGGGCAGAGGGTGAAGTAGGTGAAGGGGATTGAGAGTAGAGGACTTACCATGATGAGCACTGAGTCACGTATAGACTTGCCGAATCGCTATATTGTACACCTGCAATGAATATGGCACTGTATGTTAA